CTGCTATAAACGACCGCCATATAGCGTGTTTATATTATTAAAAAAAGCATGTATTTATAAAGCTTCAAGTATAATACGAACACATGTAACGGGTGAGCGCGCTGTGCGGGCGAGCAGTGTATGTGTGTGTTACCTTTTTTATTAATATTTCGGAAACTATAGAAGATGCGCAAATATTTCCGTATTTCCATATACACTGTGTGCAAAGATTACATTCAACTTCTAAAATTTTTTGGTTAATAACTTTTTAACAAACAATGAGCGCCGATAAATGTCATTGACCTCCTTAAGGAACAAGATCAACATCAAGGTTACTCGGAAATCATTTGGAGTTGGCTGTGTAAAGGTAAACATTTACCCTACTACTTTAACGCATACTACTTTAACGGCAAATTCTTTAGAACATTTCAAAACGAAAACTTTGATACAAAAATGTCGAGGCTATAATAATAATTTTCAAACGGGAAGCGATTATATTTCACCAATAACAGGGCTGAGATTTCGTGCGCTCAGACACGCTGAAATGACAAGTGATAAAGATGCTCCTATGAATGTCTTGAACTCTATGAATGTCTATGAACTCTTTTTACGATATTATGATTATTATATACATTTACAATAACATTGCCATAATATGTTTTGTCTACGCATTGCATTAGTATATTTTTTACACGAATAATAGTTGTAAGAACATCTTAAATATGGTTCAAGTAAAAATGAAATGTTTTAACTTAATCTGTCAAAGTATCGATTAATTATTATCATTAAGGTGTCCACTATTCTATACGACGTATAGTGGCGAATAAAATGTAATAGAAGCAAGTTTAACATTTATTTATTTTTATTTTTTGGATATTTTTACAATAAATTATGCATAAATTATGAATGCAATATTTATAAGCGAGAACAGTTTTTTATTGAAATAAAATTATAAATAATTCTGAGATAATTAATAAAATAATCGATCATTTAACACATTTTAAATTTTTAACTTAAAAGAAACTTACAATATATGTTCGAAATGGCCATTATCGCAATCAATACATAATTGCTGCGCGTCGTAATAAACTATTTGTTGCATTGGTAATCATTTCTTGTGTTATCGTCGCGATTGCTTCAATAACTTTTTCTTCTAGTTCCTCGCGATTATTTACTTGTTTTTTGTAAATATATTTACAAAATATTTACTCGCGATATACTTGTTTTTTGTAAATATATTCTTTTATATGACCTCATAAGGAATAATCTAAAGGCGTCAAATCGTGTGACCAATTTGCTAGCCAATTTATGGGACCATCGGGATGGATCCTATCCATCTTCCTGGAAATTTTTCATGTAATGTTTGCTGAACATATCTTATATTATGTGGTGATGCACCGTCTTGTTGGAGAATAAGCCGTTGTCTATTATTTAAAGAAATATTTTCCAACAGCTCCGGCAAATTCATCAAAAAATTAATGTATACATTGACATTAAGTTTTGTAGGTGTTTCAAACGGTCCAATCTGTAATTTAATATTGAAGATATTACAACATTTGTTACATAAGCTATAATATACAAACAATAATCGTATGAATTTATAAAAGTTTAAAAAAATATGTATAATGAAAAATAACATACTATTAAATTATTTTGTATGCCGGCCCATAGATTTATTACACAACTGTGTTGGTAATTTCGAAAGTGATATGTACGTGGATTTTTATTACTTTAAATATGGGAATTGTGCATATTAAATAAATCCTCACGCGTAAAACAGGATTTATCCGTAAGTAAAATGTTTCGAATGGAACTCGGTTCTTGTGCCAATAACGAGGTATAAAAATTGACACTGCGAGCATAATCTTGTAGTAATTAATTTTGTACTTTTGTAAAATGATAAGTGTGTACTTTGTTCGGTAATTATTGACAAAAACGGATCACCTTCGGAGGACGATGACCTTCATATATGTTGTCAAGGTCATTATCCTGAGTAACATTCAAAAAATTTAGCCGTCTCTCATTGTTTGTTAAAAAGTTATTAACAAAAGAAGTTATGGTAAAACTTCTGTTTAGGATTTAAGGAGGCTGCTCTAATGACCTCGACCTTGACATATGTTATAAAGGTCATTGTCCTGAGTGATCTTCTGAAGATTTTAGCCATCGCTCGTTGTTCGTTAAAAAGTTACTAACAAAAGAATTTGCATAAAATAAAAATAATTTTTGGATACACGCACATACCGCGAGCCTGCCCGGATGGGCGGGCGGGCGAGCGCGCGGGTGGGCGAGTAGTGTTTGTGTATGTGTGTACGTGCGTGTGTGCGTGCGTATGCAACTGAACGAAAGACACGACAGCAGCTAATTGACTGATACTACGTGTTAGTTATTTATCTAACTTTTTAAAATTTCCACAATGCATTAGAATCGTATGGTACATTGAGAAATTCATATAAACGCATGTTGAAAATTTGGAGACCGTGTGTTATGTTCAGTTGCATACACGCGCACACACACACACACACACACACACACACACACACACACACACTGTTCACCAGCCCGCGCGCTCGCCTGCTCACTTGTCCGCCCGGGCGGGCTCGCGTTGGATGCGTATGTTCCTATTATATTTAAGGTTTCATAAATAGAATGTAATTTGTCTCACACATTAATTTATGTAGTGTTGCAAAATTGCATGGATGATTGTTAGATCATTCTAATACAATAGGAAAACAAGCACCCACCGAGCAGTATGTTTGTGTGTACTAGGGGCACGCAAAGAGTAAAGAAAGAAAGGAGAGAGCATTAGGTTTCAGACCAGGCGACGGATGTCCTATATATAAAAGTGGGTACTCAAGATGGCTGCTCATGGGCGCCAAAATTGAATGAGTTTTCATTGCAATATGATAGAAATAATTTATAAATATATTATAAATATATTAATTTCAATATATTAATTATGGATTTCGAAATCTGGAAATAAAAATAGGGAATAAAATAAAGTTTTAAATAAAATAATGTTTATTTTATTTTGGATAAAATATATTTTATTTTTGGACAGAGTACTTTTTATTTTATTTCAAATAAACTTTTAATTTTTGATTTCTTATTTTATTTAAAAAATGAAATATAATTGAAAAAGTAATTAAATTAACAAACTAAAATAATATCAAATTTTGATCATATTAATACATATATTCCTATTTTATAACATATTTTTCAGTAAATATAGTATAAACTTTGTATATCGTATATAAACTACACTTAATCTAGATTACACAGCTGTATCAGGAACATAAAAATAAAATACTAAATAATAGAATAATTACTAAAAGAATAAATGTTACATAAGTCACAAAATATTTTGGAATGTATAAAAAAATTAAGAGCTACAATTTTGTGATATTATATACGGTAATAGAATTTAAACTTCAGGAAAGAAGATACTATATATTTAAAATGTAGCAAAAATAAATTTCAAATTTTGTTAAGGTCTTTTAAAATCAAAAGCTTCAAAAACGAGAAGACCTAAGTAGAAATCTGTAACCTATAAGTAGAAATCTGGATTGTGTAAATAGTTATATATATTCTAGTTATTGTCCTTTAAATAATATAAGTTTTGTATAAAAGTGTCTCACACTGTCACTTGCGTTTACATTATTACATGAAAATTTAATTCTTAAATTTAAATAGTTATCGGCGATTGCCTTTAACAGAAGATATAAATGATTTTGTAATGGGTGATTGTCTAATGCATGGCTTTGCAATTTGTCAAACACATTTTTATATAAAAATTCCCTTATTATAAATTGTACAAGTTTCTCTTTTTTTATTTTGTATAAATTTTGCTGAGTAAACAATTCTCTT